CAGTTTGTCCCCGGCCCTGGTTGGTCGTGCGGGTGGCAGCCACTCGATGTGTCCCTTCACATCGATGTTTCCCCCTCTCTCTCTCTTCCTCTCTCTCCCTCCTACTCTGTCTGTACAAAAAATGGAAAAATGTCCTCGGATGAGGATTTAAAAAAAAAAAAAAAAAGTAAACCGTGGAACGTAAGTGGAGCCTAAAATGTGACTTAGGAAAACCATCCCAAGGTCCTTCGCGTACCTGTCTCCCCAGGAAAAGTCATCTTCAGCTTTCATCCCACACGCTCTGTGGTGCAGCCCTGCGCACCGTCGAGGGAGGTTTTGTTTTGGAAGCTTCCGTGAGTTTCTCTTCCTTCCCAGAGGCTGGTTCTTAGAACGAGAATGTCACTGGAGCTGGAGAAGTTGGTTAATGCCAGAGTGTAGTTCTCAAAGTGAAAAGAAGAAACATCTTCGACCTCTCGGCCGAACATTTAGCTGTAGGGATGGAAGGTGGAAAACGTCCCTTTCAGAGGCTGGTTCTCCTTACGTCCCTCACGTGTCTCTAATGTTGTGCGTCTGTGACCCTCTCCCTGCTTGTCACAGACACGTGCAGAGCCGTGGCCTCTCCGTGGCCTGCACATTGGTTGGTTTCGTGAGTGGTATTTAAGTTGCTCCTGGGTCTCGGAAGCAGCAGAACCTCAGGCCCTTGGCATCTCTCCATCTCAGAAATGGCAGCTGTCACCATGGTGGGGCCTAGACCTCAGCTCAGGCGTCCCCTTGGCCTCCGTGTTCTCCTCATTCCTCTACAGTCCGTCCTGCAAGCCCCCTGCTTCCGTCCGAGCACACCCAGAATCTTCCTGGGGTCACCTTCGTGCTGGCCCCTGGGACACTGAGCACCACGGGCTCCTTGCTGGCCTCATGTTGGGTCCTGCCTTGTGCACTTAGCAGCCAGAGTGAGGTGCGTCCTAACACACGTCTTCTCTAGTGCGGGCCTCAGCTCCCTCCACCTCCGGACCCGGGCTACCCCTCCGTCCGGGGGCACCTCCCCCTTCCTGTGCACTCTTCCTGGGCCTCACACTGAGTGCTGGCAAAGGACGTTGGTGACGGGCTGCAGTGTCCCCACACCCTGGCCTGCCCCTGGGTACGTCCTTGTCAGTTACCTTTGAGTCCTCCCAAATTTGCTTTATAACGTTTGGTTAATTTCTACGAAATGCGGTGAATGGCAGATGGAGCTCCCTCTAGAACCCTAACCTAACTGGGTCCCCCCTCCTTCCCGGGGGTTCCAACTCTCCTGAAGGTTTTATTGTTTAAAAAATGCAGTGAATGGGGCGGGGCTATGGCCGTAAACACTGCACCGTGGTTTAGTGTGTTTCAACCATGTGTGAAGTGTGTATTTTCTAAGGTTGGATCGTGATTTATAGCATAAGAACAGTTAGTGTTGGAAAATAGAAAAGGTAGGTAGGAAGGTAGGTAGGAAGTTAGATAGGTAGACAGGTAGAAAGGTAGGAAGGAAGGTAAGTAGGTAAGAAGGTGGATAGGAAGGAGGTAAGAAGATAGGTAGGAAGGAAGGTAGGTTGATAGGTAGGAAGGCAAGTAGGTAAGAAGGTGAATAGAAAGGAGGTAGCTACATACGAAGGTAGGTAGGTAGGAAGGTAGGTAGGTATGTAGGAAGGAAGGTAAGAAGGTAGAAAGGTAGGAAGGCAAGTAGGTAAGAAGGTAGATAGGAAGGACGTAGCTAGGTAGGAAGGTACGTAGGTAGGTAGGAAGGTAAGTAGGTAAGAATGTAGGAAGGCAAGTAGGTAGGAAGGTAGGTAGGTAAGAAGGCAAGTAGGTAAGAAGGTGGATAGGAAGGAGGTAGGTAGGAAGGTAGGAAGTTAGGTAGGAAGGTAAGAAGGTAGGAAGGAAAGTAGGTAAGAAGGTGGATAGGAAGGAGGTAGCTAGGTAGGAAGGTAGCTAGGTAGGTAGGAAGGAAGGTAGGGAGGTAGGGAGGCAGGAAGGTAGGCAGATCTGGAAATAGACCACAAATGACTCACGGTTTCTCAGTATGTGACCCTCCTTCTGGGGCGACAAGGCTCAGAGCTTCCTTTGCACCTCATGGTCAGAATGGTGACCCATTTGCATGGCTGAGGAGTCTGCTGCCCCAGGTAACAGACCGACTGTGGGTCTGTAATTACATCGCAAGAGTCACTCTTTTAAATGATGGCCTGGTGCGGGTGACGCTTCCTGCCGGGGGACTCCTGGGGAGCCTGGGGTCCCTGCGGTCGGCCACCTGTGTGTGCAGGGTGGTGGGCAGAGGTGTGTGGGGCGTGCTCAGAGCAGATTTGGGCTAAAAATCGCCGTTGTGTCAACATTCAGTTCTGCCCCAGAGACACAGAGAGTGACCAGAGCCGCCCACTGCGGGATGAGGGGTCGGAGCTTGGGAACAGGGACAGAGTGCACTGGACAGAAAACGTCACCAGAGAAGGAGGAAGCACCTACGTCAGGCCCCTCCGACGTGACAGAAATACGTCACGTCACGTGCTGACAGCAACTCTACAGATGGCCCTCCCCGCGCTGAAGATGCAGGTGTTCGTACCGGGAGGGCCCGTGTGCCTGGTGGGTGCTGGTCCGCAGAGCCGGCCGTTCCTCGCCTCGAGGAGGTGACGGGCCGAGGTGTCAGCGTGCCGGGGCAGCAGGGTTACAGAATCAAGCCCTGGGACCCGCACACTGTGGACGACCGGGGACGTGCTCTGAAGGGCTGTCCTTCACCAACCGTCCAGCACCGCTCAGGGCATCAGAGGACGGGGGGGCTCCTGCGGTGCTGAGGGACCCGGCAGCCGTGCACAGCTGTGGGCGAGAGGAACTGGGGGCCCGAGCCCAGACGGGTGGGCTGCAGAGATACAGCGTCGGCTGTGAAATGCATCATCGCGACCTCGCGTTCACGGGATCCCGGTGGACCACGTGTCCTTCCGACAGCGATGCCGGCCGCTGGGGCGATGGTCTCCCCAGGATTTCTCAGGCTTCCACAGCCCTCCCTCTCTTGTGTTTGCACCCCCTTGATTTGGGGGTGCGGGAGCGAGCCAGCCATGCCGGAAACTCCTGCAGGGCCCCAGACCTGGATTGGCCCTGCTCTGGTCTCTGACGTGGTCTGGTCCCTGGCTTGGTAGGGAAACCCAGGTCCTGTCTCCTGGCGACCCCGTGGCTGCCGTGGGGGCCGAGGGAACGGCTGTTTAACCGGGTTCACTCTGCACTGACCGGTTTGCTGAGCAATGGGCCTGGCGTCCGCAGGGCGGAGAGGAACAGGGGTCGCTGCTTCACACTTTCCACGGGAGCCCAGTGGGCATCGTGGATCTTCGGGGTGTCGGGCCACTTCCCGTGCTAGCGTCTGATGGAGAAGGTGTTGGCCACCTGGGCCACCCAGCGTCGCACAGGGAGGCCGGACGCCCGTTCAGCGCAGCCTTCGGGGCTGGTTGTCCTTTGACTTTCTTGTTGAAGTTCAAGAAAATGAGCAGAAAAGTCCTCAGGGAACCGCACGATCGTGGAACTGGCAGAACAGAACCGAATTCCAGCCGAGCACAGGCCCCACGGGCTGCAGCGGATGGGGGGGTCCCTGCACGCATTTTATTAACCATGGAGGGACTTCGCTCCGTGCGAGCTTCCCCCCAGGCTTGTTGTGTCAATCGAGCCGAGAGCGGGGCTGCCGCCATCCACTCGGCCTCCGTTCATTCCTGCGCACGTGGGCGGGAGGGGGGGACCGGCAGTCACCGCTGTCCCGTGGACCCCACACGTCGATGAGGGAGAAAAGTGAGCAAGTGCAGAACAACCGTGGTCGCAGGTGCGTCCCGGGCGCGCACTGTGTGCAAAGGACTCCGCAGCTCGTCCGCGTCCTTTGGTCCCCATGACAACCTGCGATGCAGTTCCTGGGCTCCGCCCCAGTTGTCCGGGAGGTAAACGGAGGCCAAGGGAAATGAAGAAACTGGTCCAACGTCAGGCACCTCGTCAGTGGCAAAGCCAGGGGTCGCCCCCGTGGCGTGTCTCCGTCGGCTGTGGGCTCAGCTCTCCACTGCCCGGGCCTCGGAGTGGACGTCTGCAGGGCTCCCTGCTGGGGAGGACCGCCAGGCAGGGCAGGGGAGACCTGTGCCAGGTGCGGGGGGCTCTGCTTGGGCTTCGTTTGACATTCGAGTGCGGGATCCTTAGGTGCTCTCTCCGCACAAACAGTCGAAGGAGCCCGTCGAGCAGACCCGAGGGAGAGAGGGTTGAACAACGTACCTGCCCTTCGCGAACCCCCTGGGCGAGACGCTGCTCCTTGATGGTTGCACCGTTTGTAGTTTCCTGTGACCGTGGTGGGGGAACCTAGGCCTTCCGGGCAGAAGGTGGACACCCGGCCAGCCGGCGAGGGCACCCCCTTCCTGGTCAGGTCCCCCTCTTCTCGGCCTCTCAGGGTTGACTCCAGCGACAGAGCACCGTTCTCAGGAGGAGAATTCATCCCTGTAGCTTGTCGAGAACATCACACGGTTCTGTGTTCTGGTCCATGTTCTTCTTGGCCGTTGGAAAAGTCTGCTCTGTGGTTTACAATTAAGAAAACGAACTTCAGCCCTGGCCAGGTTGGCTCAGCAGTTAGAGCGTGGGCCTGCGGACCAAAGGGTCCTGGGTTGGATTCCCAGGCAAGGACACGTACCCGGGTTGCAGGTTGCATCCCCGGCCCGGTCAGGTTCCGAAGGAGGCAACCAGTCCATGTGTCTCTCTCACATCGATGGTTCTCTGGCTCTCCCCCTCCCCGCCTTCTGCTCTGTGTAAATCAATGGGAAAATAGCCTTGGTTGGGGATTCACAGAAAGAAAGAAAACACACTTTACAGCCAGCACCTGTCAGGGACATGGTCTCCGACGGCTGTCAGGCCCCGGAAACAGGAGTCCCGCCAGGCTGCCGGAGCCTGCGGTGGGTGACGCCTCAGGAACCTGTCGGACGGCCCGCAGGGCGCTCAGGTCCCAGCATTCAGAGTGAAGGCATGAGAAACCGATGAGATGTCTGTCTGTCTGTCTCCCCCAGGGCTCTTTGACCACGCCGAACTCCCCGTCCGAGAATTCCCGCTCCATGACGCTGGGCCCATCCCTCTCGCTGAGCAACATCTCAGGGATGTCCATGAAGTCGGACATGAAGAAGCGCCGAGCCCCTCCGCCCCCCTCGCTGCCTGGGACGGGGCCGCCCGCGCAGGACAAGACGTCGGAGAAGGTAGGGGCGGGGCGGCCCGTGGCGGGAGCGCTCTGCGTCTGACGAGCACATCAGGGTCCCCAGTTGTGCGGCAGCTTCTAGGGTAGCTGATCTTTCATTATTTGTTTGTTTTTTTAAAATATGTTTTGATTGATTTTTTTTAAGAGAGAGAGAAACATTGACGTGAGAAAGAAACATGGATTGGCCGCCTCCTGCTCGCCCCCTACTGGGGATCGAGCCTGCAGCCCAGGCATGTGCCCTGACTGGGAATCGAACCAGGACCTCTCAGTCCATAGGATGGCGCTCCATCCACTGAGCCACACCAGCCGGGTGATTTTTCTTATTATGTATTGGTTTCGATTAGTGGTTAGACAGTCAGATACCTGATGCTGTGCTCCTCTCGACAGCCGGCGCCTGCCTGGCCCCGAGCACCATCGTCACAGTGTGACTGTTCCCTGAGCTTCACTCTCTTCCTGTGACTGTTCTGTAGCTGCTGGTTGTGCTTCCCAGGCCTCACCTCTTCCACCCGCCCCCAGCCCCGCCCTCTGGCAACCATCCGTCTGTTCTCTGCATCTGAGTCTGTTTCAGTGTTTGTATATATTGCTCTTTAGATCCCACATGTACGTGAAATCGTAGGTGTCCTTCCCTGACTGACTTCTTTTACTGAGTATAATGTCCACTCGGTCCATCCATGCGGTTGCAAATGGTAAAACGTCATCCTTTTTCATGGCCAAGTAATATTCCATGGCGCACAGCTTTCTCATTCACTTGTCTCGTAATGGCTCTTGGGCTGCTTCCACAGCTGAACTACTGTAAGTAATGCTGCTGTGGATATAGGGGCGCATATATTCTTTCTGATTGGTGTTTCGGGATTCTTAGCATATGTTCCCGGAAGTGGGGTCACTGGGTCGTAAGGCAGTTTCAGTTTTTATTTGTTGAGGAAACTCCATGCTGCTTTCCACAGGGGCTGCACAAGGGTTCCTTGTCTGCACACCCTCCAGCACCTGTGGTTTGATGATTTGTTGATGGTGGTCCTTCCAACAGGTGTTTGCGTTGAGCATCTTTTGTATGTCTATTGGACATCTGTACGTCCTCTTTGGAGAAGTGTCTGTCCGGGTCCCCTGTCCATTTCTAATTGGAGAGTGTGTTTTTTAGTGTCGAGTTGAATCAGTTCTTTATAGATTTCGGCTATTAACCCCTTACAGGTGGGTCCTTGGCGAATGCATCTCCCATTTAGTAGGTTGCCTCTCCATTTTGTTGGTGGTTTCCTTCTCTGTGCAGAAACTTTTCAGTATGATGTCGTCCCACTGGTTAACTTTTCTTCTGTTTCCCTTGCCCGAGAAGATCTGTCAGAAAAAAACATCGCTCTGTAAAGAAACCAGTGCGTTCCCTGGCCGGGCCCTGTGTGAGCTCGGACCCTGCACGTCTGTGGGTGCAGCTGGGGGATGCTCGGAGGACAGGCAGGCTCTGCCTAGCAGGGAAGGAGAGCGGGCACACAGCGCCATCGGGGGAGGGAAGGATGGTGCCTGTCGCCCACACGAGCCCCCGCTTGCTGGCTGGCACTGTTACATGCTCAGCACTGAAATCTTGGGCATCGTCATGATGGCTTCATGGGACATCGTGAACACCGGGCTGGGCAAGGACGGGGATGCCGTGCCCTGTAACTCGGACGCGTCCGCTAGAGAGTCAGGGCCGAGCGGACATGTGCGTTGAGCAGCCGTGTGTGAGATCCCGTCGGCCTGGGAGACACTGCGTTTACCGGTACAAGGGGTCGTCCCGGTGTGTGGACGGGACACCGGTGTCTCCTTCGTCTACCTGCCGAGGCCTTGAGGAAACCTGGTTTGAAATCAGCCCTCACTTTTCGGGGGTAGGACACTTTACCAGTAACTACTCTTCTCTTGTTTTGTTTGGTTTTGGTTTTTAGCGAGTGGAAGGAGGGAGGGAGGGGGGGGGAGGGAGGGGTGGAAACATCCATGTGCAAGAGACACATCGATCGGTCACCTCCTGAGGGACCCCAGCTGGGACAGGAGCTAATCCACAGCCCAGGAACGTGCCCTTGACCAGGACTTGAACCCGAGACCCTTCAGTGCCTGGGCCGGCGCTCCAACTGCTGGGCCACACGGCCAGGGCAGTAACTCTTCTGTGTGTGGGCTGGAATATGACACTGTGAAAACCCACCGGCCCTTCTTTGGGTAAACCGAGGCAACCACGACACCCAGGCGGGCCCAGGATGGGACCGTGCCTCCGGCTGGTGCAGGAGCTGAGTCCTCCTGGGCAGACAGGCTGTGCCTGCAGCAGGGCCTCTGCAGGCCTCTGAGACGTCGGCCACCTGCCGCACAGAGGTCGATGCGTCATCTTCTTTACGCCCAGACAGTGCCCAGGGCCCTGCCTCTTAGCTTCTGGGGCTGGGGTCGGGGTGGGGGCGCACCACGGACGGGAGCACATGCGCGAGCCCATCTGTGTGACACGGAGATGCGAACCTGGTCGGCACGCCGGCTCCCTGCCATCCAGCGGAGGCGCTGTCTCCCTCCGGTTTCAGTATGCTTCTCAGAGTGGACCAGTTGGCGCGAGTGGGAGAGAGCCCCCTGAGCAGAGATCGGGGATTCTAATGAAGAACAACAGGGCCCTGTACCCTGAGAAGGGACGGAGCCCCTCGCAGGCCCGGGAGCTGCTGCGGAACCTGTCTGACTGGCACCGAGGGAGCCTATGGACCAGATGGACCAGATTTCAGCATTTGCTCTGAGCATGTTTGTTGGTTGGTTTCCTTTGGTTTTCTCCTTAAACGGAAGCGATTTGGTTATGGACTACTCTCTGGGGAAGGAAGCCAGCGGGTCTGGTGGTCCCTGGCGGGGAAGAACGTCAGTCCCTCGTTCGTGGGTGTCCTTCCGTTGGTGGGGCCTCGTGTCTCTGCTGCGGTCGCCACACCGACACCCTGAACCAGAGGTTTCTCCTCGGGGACCCGGCCGGTGGGAAGGAGATGAGAACGCTCCGGTGCTCGCACGCTGGGGGACCTGTTCCTATGGACTAGCACGAAAACTTCAGTTTGTACTTCGCTCCCGCCGTGTCCCCTTCACTGGGAACTTAGAAACTGGAGTGGGGGTTCTCAAAGCCGCTACCTCCCTGATCTGCACTGGGACCCACACAGGAGAGAGAGGGTCCCCTCCGGGTGACCATCCTCTCGGCTCTGGGGCGCCCTCAGTAGGCAAGGGACACACAGTGAAGGAGCCCAGGCGTGCGGGGACAACAGGTTCAGCTCCCGAGGCCTCAGGTCCCTGTTTAGGTAGATAAATGGCTCCCCCTTCTGGCTGTGAGGGACCAGAATCTCGCCTGTCACCTCGGAGTCCCACAGGGTCCTCCCCCGGGGCTGAGACGCCCTCCTGCCTGGCCTTGGCCCCCGTCACTGAATTCTTGCTGAGTTTGGGTCGGAGCCCCTTGTGCTCTTTGGTTGGAGCAGATCACTTCTGTCCCCCAAATACAAGAGAACGGACCTTGGATGGGTAGCCTCTGGGGTGCGGGGGTCCGATACAGCGGCGTGATCCAGCCCAGGGAAGTTCTCACTTGCAATAATGGTTTTTATGATTCCCCCTAAACCCCATCCCAAGGAAACCCTCAGTACTGACCCGATCGGGAGCCAGAGACTAGACTGGGGAAGGTGTTCCCCGTAAATTCTTCCCAGGTTGTGGCACCCAGACTGTGGAGGAAGATGTTTGACCTGTCAAATCGGGGGTGAAGGGCCCTGTGCCCGACCACAGAAGCACACACACCAGCAAAACCCCCCCAGGGCCCTGGCCAGTTTGGCTCAGCGGTTAGAGCGTCGGCCTGCGGACCGGAGAGACCCGGGTTCGGTTCCCACTAAGGGCATGTACCTCGGTTGCAGTTTGTCCCCGGCCCTGGTTGGGGTCGTGCGGGTGGCAGCCAGTTGGTGTGTCTCTCTCACATCGATGTTTTTCTCTCCCCCTACCTCCCACTCTATCTGAAGATAAATGCAAATATATCCTCGGGTGAGGATAAAAAAACAAAACAAAACCCTCCCCGGGCTGCTGGGCAGAGAGGGCATGTCACCCCGTCCTCAGCTAGCTGGGCCCACGGTCAGGAGGTCAGAATAAAAACCGCTGTGATGACCCAACGGCGGCTCGGCCTTGCTGTGCTTTAGGTTCTGTGCAGGCGTCACAGACCTCGTCTCACGTGACTTCATCTGCTCCTCCTCCGCCACACCACGGCCAGCACCCGGTTCACCGGGGGCGTGAGGTCACAGCTGCTGGACTCCCCCGCAGGAGCTCCGGTGTCTGGGTGCCCGCTGGGGTCGCAGGGAACTGTGTGGCCAGCAGGTGGCGGTGTGCAGGATGGGACACAGGCCGCTTGAATCTCCACCCTGCGACCTGAGCAGGGGAGGTGCCCATGAGCTGGGAGCTGACGCCACCTCTGCACAGTGGCCTTCCTCCTAGAGGTTCTCGGGTGGAGATAGTGTTTGAAGTGGGACCTCGCTCGCTTACGGACAGGGGGTCACGTAGTTGCTGTGGAGAATCGAAACCCAAAGCGTAACAAGGGTTCTAACACTCTGGGGAGGGGTCGACTCACGCCCCGCGCCGCACGGAGGGCAGCCCTCAGCCCTACAGGTTCACGGGCAGCCGGTCTGCTGTCAGGAACGTCAGTCTGCAGGGGAAAAGCCCGGCGGAGTCGGGCACCAGGTCGCCTCCCTACCTGCCCTTGTCCAGGACGTGGATCCCGACTGGGGAGCCGGTGAGGACGACGAGTGACTGGGACCCTGCTGGGTGGTGCTGCTGTCTGGGTGCACCTGCCGGACACACAGGCTCCATGCGGCCAGACACGCTCGGCAGGTCTGAATCCGAGCGCCACTGTCCCAGAGGTGACGGGCCGCGGACGCAGGCGCGGCCGCACTCCCCGCGCGCAGGCCACCAGGGCGGCCCGGGTGCCCCCGCTCACTGAAGAGATGCCTCCTGGGTTTTTCGTCTCTGTCCAACTCCCCAAACTCTGCTTATCTGCCCCAACAGCATGTTCTA